TCATGCGAAGTGACCAAAACCTGCTGCAACCACCCAGCAGACGGGGGGAATAAAAACCAAACACCCCCCACCCCACCCCCACTGCCAATCCTCAACAGAAATACAACAATAAAAACCTCGGACAGGAGGAAGAGCGCCACCGGGTGGGCAGGCAGGTGTCTTGCTTGGCTGTTGCTTAGGGGGCACTTTTTTCAGTGCCATTGTAATGAATGTTCGAAGAGAACTGTTGTAAGTCGAGGACTACCTGTACTTTATTACTTTTTTCCTTTTTTTTTTTTGGTCATCAAGTTTTTGACACCTTGCTGGTGGTACTCGGATGTGGTAAAAGTGGTACAATGGATGAAAAGGTTGAAAAGTCCTGACGTAGACAAACCCAGCAAATTGTAACTTATTTAACATAGTCCAGTTAAGCAAACTAATAGATGAAGTCAGCTCTTGTGGTCTTTAACCATGGTTTATCATTGCACTGGCTCAATAAATTACAATGTATTCCATAAATTATGAGTGAGGAAACTGGCTTTAACCCTATGTGTGATTTCAGCAGTGCTTCAAATATGCCATATACTAACTAGGCTTTGTTAGCATGTTGAAAAGATATTGAAGGGTAGCTAATTTCTGCATTTTAGGAGCAACCCTCCATAGTAAAGGAATTAGCAGCCAAGAAATATATCACGTAATAGCATTTGGTAGAACATCCGTGAAGGTCGTGAGAAAAATATCCAAATGCTATAATATTGAAAAAAAATGGAAAAAAAATATTCAAATGCTACAAACATAATAGCACAGATAGTGGTATTTCTTTGTAAAACTCTATGGAAGTGAAAGTTGGGAATTAAAGAAGCAGGCTAGGAAGAATATTGATGCTATTGAACATTGGTGATGAAGAAGACTCCTGAGAACACCATGGGAAACCAAGAAAACAATGAAATTTTTTACCAAATGAATCTATCCAAAGTTCTTACTCAAGAAACAAATGATTACGCTCAAATAGCCGACTTTGGAGACATTACGGAAAGATCTAGCTTTCTGGAGAAGGCTCTGATGATTAGGAAAAGTTGTAGAAAAGAGGACAACCAACAGTCAGAGTGCTTTGGGGTAGTACCATTAGAAGACCTGAAACATCAGGTTAGGGACAGATCAACATGGAGAAAATCTGTCATACCTATGTGGTGAAAATCTGTCATACCTATCTGTCATACCTATGTGGTGACATCAACCAGACAGCACACAATCAACCAGCACATTGAGAGCCAGTATGCCTGTTAGAGAAGTTATGAAATTGTACTGTTAGAACAGGGGTGTCAAACTGCTGGCCCGCAGGCTGGTTTCATCATACTGAAGCCACGCCCACCCCATTGTTGGCAATGCAAACAGAGTTGCGATACGTTGTGACACATCACGTGACGTGGCGAGTTTGACACCCATGTGTTAGAAGGTAAAAGCCTCCATGGTACCTTCTAGCCAGATCACATACTAATCTTGGGCATGTCTGACCCCAGGAAACCTCAGGTCACAAAATAAAGAACCACTTGAGCCTTTCAGCTGTGGGAAGTCAGCCCCCCCCCAGAGAAGGAAATATTAAAAGGGCAGAATATTATATTTCCTCAAAGGATCTTAAAGAGGCAGAAAAGCATGCCCAGTTTTTGTTAATAGCCCCAAGTCTCCCTCCCCCAAGCAGAAATCAGCTCTGTAGAAATGCAGATGTGATAATCCATTCAGGAAGGTAGGAGCCCTCCAGCTAGAAGCTTAGGAAGACAAAGACACCAAAAGTCTACATACGCCACCCAAACTATAAGATAGGACATAATAGGATTAACCCACAGATGCCAAAGGGGCACACTTAGACTCAGGTTAAAGTACATGACACAGGAAATACAAAGCCTCAAACAGGAACAACCTCAAGAGCCCCAGAGGGTATAAAAACCCACTCCCTACATGTGCTCTGTCTCTTTTCTTCCAGAGCCATCTTTCTGTCTGGCTCTCCTCTTCAGTAAACTGCAACCTTCTTTCTAAAGCAGTCGCCATGTTGTTTATTCCTGGCTTGGACTGGACCCTGATGAAGACTTTTCCTTCTACACAGCCAAGTTTGGCACTTTGGATGAAGCTGGTAGGAAGTTGGCAGACATCTCAATCAAAGCCATTAGAAATCCCCTCAGGATATGGAAATTCTTTACACACACAAAAAGAATAAAACTGGCCAAAGGTGACAGCCATTCAGGAAAACATTCTTTTCATGATACCAGAGGTTACACTTATTAATAAATGAAAGATCCTTTCCTGACGGCCCGTGGTCTTTTTCTGCTTTCAGTTTTCTGTTGCATGTTTCTGTATATTTACAGGAAAAGTGGTCTTTGGGGAGGTGTGTGAACATGCCCTTTGAAATGTTTAATTTGGCGGATGTGCAGCTCTGATGGGTTGATGTTCTTATCTAACTTTGCTGAGTGTGTAAGATCTTCCTTTTGTGTGCGTCTTTGTGTTGACTTTAGGGTTGTGGGAAGTCAGCCCCCCAAAGAAGGAAATATTAAAAGGGCAGAAAAATATATTTCCTCCAAGGTTCTTAAAGAGACAGAAAAGCATGCCCAGTTTTTCTTAATAGCCCCAAGTCTGCCTCCCCCAAGCAGAAGCCAGCTCTGTACAAATGCAGATGAAAACCATCAGGAAAGTTGGAGCTAGGAGATTGGAAAGACAAAGACCTAAAATCTGCATACCCCACCTGAGGCAGGACGTGGTAGGATTAACTCACAAATAAGGTGACCAACCGTCCTCCTTTAGGGAGGACAGTCCTCCTTTTGTAAATTCTGTCCTCCTTTTCGATATTTGAAGACTAATCTGCAGGGCTTTTTTTTTCTCATAGAACGCTCAGAACGGCGTTCTGGCACCTTTTTTTGATGGTTTTTTTTTCAACTTTTGCATGAGCTGTGCTACTCCCACTATTGGCTTTCGAAAGCCAATAGGAATTGCTGCTGAGCACGCCAAAACACCCCGCTGGCAAACTTTGCACATGCAAGTTGTCTGTATTATTGTTGCAATGAATAAAATGTTTTTTATTTACGATATTTTTTTCTTCAATTTATTTGTGTCCTCCTTTTCATTGTAAAAAAGTTGGTCACCTTACTCACAAAGGCCAAAGGGCACACCCAAACTCAGATCAGGATATAGGACAAAGGAAATAGCCTCAAAACAGGAACAGGAAATAACTCCAAACAAAAGGCTCCAGAGGGTATAAAAACCCGCTCCCTACATGTGCTCAGTCCTTTTTTTTTTTCCACTTCTCTTGCTGCCAGAACCATCTTCCTGTCTGGCTCTCCTCTCCAATAAACTACAACCTTCTTCCCAAAGCAGTTGCCATGTTTATTCCCAGCTTGGATGAACCAGGATGAAGACTTTTCTTCCAACAGATTGCCACATTTGTATGTTCAGGAGAGATCTATATCTTGAATGGATTTTGCCTGTTTGCTAATTCTTTGAGAGAGATGCGGCTTTATCAGTTTCAGCCTGGCTGTTAATTATCAGCTGAAAGAAGTTTAAGCTGCAACATTGTATTGAGATTATTATTATTTTTTTGCAACACAGTTTCTTTCGGCTACTGGCAAGTCATGTTGATGATTAAAGACATTCACAGGGAGTGCATGAATAAAATTATTTCTGAATTGAATGTTCTTCCCACGGTTGACTCAACGGACCATAGTAATCTAACAGGATTAGTATTACTACTATACAATTATGGGAGGAGGACAATTATAGGAAGGGTGGGTGGGTGGGGGTGTTGCTTGTTTCATTCACAGATGAAGGCAGCTACTTTGTTTTTTCCTCTTCAACGGCTGACTAACATCCTGATAAAAAAAATCACCTCTAGAAACAGTCAAAAGGAAGCACGTAGGTTTGCCAGGTCTGCTTCCAAAAAATAGCGGACAAGCGGGGGGGTTAAGTAGTAAAAAAAGTAGACTGTACAGCTTTAGATTACGTACCATTTCATCATAAAGCTTTTGAATAAAAAAATGTCCACTATTTTGTGAAAAAAAATAGTGAACATAATGTGAAAAAAGTGGACTGTCCACTCAAATAGTGGACACCTGGCAACCCTAGAAGCGCGGGAGAAAGGCGGCTATTTGCTTTTTGTGAGAAAGGAGAGCTTAGTGTTGTTTTTTTACTTGTGGTAAGTCACAGTGTTTCTCAACCTTGACAATTTTAAGGCATGTGGACTTCAACTCCCAGAATTCCACAGCCAGCATTGCTGGCTGTGGAATTCTGGGAGTTGAAGTCCACATGCCTTAAAATTGTCAAGGTTGAGAAACACTGCTTGACAATACTTTATCTTTAAAAGTAGAGGCTGGCAGTGCGGTTACTTAATGACTTCGGACAAGAAAATATATTTGAGTAGTTCATCTTTCAGATAAACCGGCATTATTTGGCGTATAAACCGGGAATATTAATTAGGAAAAAAGCCTTAAAGGCAAATTTGCACTCTGCAAATTTACGTAGCTCTATGGCGCTTTTTAGCAGAGATTGAAAAAACCTCCGGTTGAGGAAAATGGACTTCCGGCGACGGCCATATTAAATCCGCGAAGTAACGTTTTAGCCGGTACAGTCTGAAAATGCTTCCTGATTTACGAACCAACTTCCGGTCGAGAAAGGACGGCGGTGTCTAGCTTGCCATTCTCACACAGTTCTACGTTCATTATTGGGGTTTGATATATTTCCGGTTTAATTGTTTCGGTTTCTCTATTGGCTGGGGAGGGGGTGGGAGGAAGAAGACTGAAAACCGGACCCTCGAAAGGTGGAAGTACGTGCGCATGCGCAGACCGGGACGGTGTGCTACTTAGTCGTCGTCCGGCCGAGGGGGATTCCTGCCGTCAAGACAGAGCCATCGAGCTGCCAGGAAGGAGGAGTCGGCTAAGAGTCTGCGAGCCTTTCGTGCGCCTGCGCCTTGGGTCCCCTCCGTCCTCTTTTCCCCGCCCTTTCGCCAGTTCATCTCCGAGGTGTGAAAAAAAAAAAAAAACAGAAACAAAAGCTATGAGAGACCGAACGCAGGAGCTGAGAGAGGTGAGAACGCCGCCCGCGCGCCCCTTTTCACGACGCAGGGCTTAGCCCCGCCCACAACGGTCGCGGTTGCCCCTCCCTTCGCGCCACCGGCCGCTCTGGCTTCGCGTTGCCCTCCGCCGCTTCCTCCAGGCTATTCTGTCTGCCTTCCCCCGCCCCCTCCGCAAATTGGGTGGCTCTTCTCACCACCACCCCTGGAGTCAAACCTGCGGCCCATTCCCCCTTTCCCTTCTGACTCGTAACTTCCTTTCTCCGCTGGACCCCATTCACACAGCCTCTTTCTCCCCCCCATTTAATGGCTCCATCATCAGTGCCTGAGGCTGCTTCCTCTTCCTGCCCGGGCAGATAGAAGGTCCTCCCGGGCTGGGATGGAGAAAAACCTGCCTCTTCTCTTTCCAACACTGGAGTGGGAAGAGTGACAATAATCTTATTTAAAATGGCGGCCGCCCCCTTTCTTTCCACCTGGCCTCCCAGTGATCTCTGCCCCTTAGCTGCAATTTCCCCTTCCCTCCTCTGCACTGCCTTCATTCCTTCTCCCGTCCTCTACAGACCCCATAGCCTTTATATGTGTCACTCACACACACACACACACACACACACCCCTTCCTGGTTACTTTTCTTGGCATGGTTGCAGCCCTCTCCCCCCCCCCCCAACTCTCCCTTGGCAGTGTCACCCCAGAGAAAGTTTTAAGGCAGGGTTTTCTGGACCTTGGCAACTTCAAACTGTGTGGACTTCAATTCCCAGAATTCCCCAGCCAGTTGTGGCTGGCTGGGGAATTCTGGGAATTGAAGTCCACACATCTTCAAAGTTGCCAGGTTTGACAGAAACGCTAGGTTATGGGGAATGGCTGTCAGCCTGAAGTGACAGAAGCTTGAAAGGGGAAAGATTTGGGAGCCATCCTCAATCTTTGGCACTACAACTCCCTGTAGCTCAGTGTTTCTCAACCTTGACAATTTTAAGGCATGTGGACTTCAACTCCCAGAATTTCACAGCCAGCATTGCTGGCTGTGGAATTCTGGGAGTTGAAGTCCACATGCCTTAAAATTGTCAAGGTTGAGGAACACTGCACGGTGTAGCTGATGCCGGCTGGGCCCTGATAAGAATAGTAAAAGCACCAGGTGAAGCAGGTATTCCCAGGTGGCCAAGGGTCAGCTGCCACTGCCCAGTCTAATCTAAAGACAAGGTGATCGATTAACATCAGTAGGGAGAGCTGACCTGGATTTCCAGGATAAGAATGTGAGCGTGACCTGGTCTTTTGGCATGGAATTGCAGTGGAAGGGCAAGTTTTACTTTTGGCATGGAATTGCAGTGGAAGGGCAAGTTTTAATTTTGTCTCAGAGGGGTTTGTAAATGTGTTGGTATAAAATTTTTTGCGCATTTATTTATGCATGCTTTTTGTTGTCTCAGCAGTTGGCACTAAATCTGTATATTCATTAGGCCTGTATTGTGGACTTTCCTTTTGTGTGTGTCCCTTTGACTCAGTCTTGTCTCCTGGCAACTGTCTGGAGAAGTCATTGCAGTTTTTTGGGCAAGACTTTGGAAGTGGTTTGCCATTGCCTCCTTCATAGGCCGAGAGAAAATAACTGGCTCAAAGTCACTCAAGTAAACGTGTACAGAAGATGGACTAAAAATCATGGGCTCCCATTTTCTGGGGTGATGCCTTAAACCAGGGGTAGGCAACCTTGGCTCTTTTATGTCTCATGACTTCAACTCCCAGAATTCCTGAGCCAGCCAGGCTGGCTCAGGAATTCTGGGAGTTGAAGTCACGAGTCATAAAGGAGCCAAGGTTGTCTACTCCTGCCTTAAACATACCATGAACTGGCTCTCTGGGTTTTCCTTAGTCTTCCAAAATTCTTAAATCCCTGTGTAGCAGAATAAATATTTTACTAAGTACTGATTCAGCATGGCTGCCCTACTGTATAATTATTTTAAAGCATTTTTAAATGTGATTTTTTTTTGAACCCCAGAAGAGAGCTGATTCCAGCTGCCTGTAGTTTTTGTTGGAAAGGGTACTGGTTTCACAATAAGATGAAAAATAGGTTTATTTCCAGTTAATAGATAGCCTACTAAAATTTTATAAAGGAAGGGAGGGGATTGATTCAACTATTCTCAGAACATAATTGTGGTTCTTAGAGCAAAACCCTACTAATTAAGCAGGGTTGGATAATTGTACTACATGGTTAAAGTTTTAATTGGCCAAAGCATTTAGCTTAATTAAATAGTAGTAATAGTTCTACTACTTTCTCTTACATTTTGAGAAAGGAGACTTGTTAGCTTCTGGAAACTCATGATTCCTTAAGAGAATGTGCTGTGCCAGTTCTTGGTGTCTTCTAAAAAAACATGTATTTGACGCAACCACAGTTTGAGGATCACTGAGTTATAGCAGTGACACAGAATTTCCATGGGAGGAAATTATTATTGTTTAGCTGAGCGGTTTCCAAACTTGGCAACTCTTAAGACTTGTGGACTTCACTTCCCAGAATTCCTGAGCCCAACCATGCCAAGTTGCCAAGGTCAGCTACAGATTTTTTTCCCCTCCAAATTCTATAAAATAAATTTATTCTATAATAAAATAATAAAATTCTACATTAAAAGCACTGGTTAGCAAGGTGGCCTTTTTTTTGGTTAAGCAGTAGCATTAACCTCTAAATCCACACACAAAAGTCTGCACAAGCCTTGCAGATTATAGCCTATACAACCAGAAAGAGGAATACAATAAACCCAGTTTCATTTCAGTCATTACAAGCGAACTCTAGATTAATGATTAAGTATGTAGTGCCTGGGGCTGGGCTACATTAACTGGACTGCAGAAATCTGGACTACATGATTGGAAAGACTGCATTTTCTGCATCCATTGACGGTCCAGGTAATGTAGCATTCAACTCAAGGTGGACCGTGACTTAACAACCATTTATTTAATGACATTTCAACAGCACTGAAAAAATGTCTTATAATCTGTCCTTGCACTTGTGTTGCAGCATCCCTGTGGCCACATGTACCTGCCATGCATGAGGTATGTGTGCTTTCTCAGACATGCTGTACCTGACTTACTTTCGTTTATTTTTCTTGCTACAGAAAGATGACGAATCCGACAATGAAGATGTTGAACGTGTGGCTCTTGTCATACAGCGTGGATCAGCAAAACACAACTCCCCTGATCCTACCGATGAATTTTTCCAAATGGTATTATGATCTTCTTTCTTGAGCACTTCTTTGTTTTCTCTGTGTGCATGTCTATATAAATAACAGTGAAGGAAATTTTTTTTCTGTCTTCTGTAAAAACTCCATCTCTTCCTGGAGCGATTAAAAGTGCCCATTTAAACATCGTGACTGCATTCCCTACCAACGCTGTAAGACAGTGATGGCGAGCCTTTTAGAGACCGAGTGCCCAAACTGCAACCCAAAACCCACTTATTTATCGCAAAGTGCCAGGGCTGCATCAGCATTGTGGCGCCCTCAGGGGCTGTGGGGGGGGGCACAGCCCACTGGGTGGGCGTGGCTGCAGTGGTCACAGCAGACTGGGTGAGCGTGGCCAGGGCCAGTCCCTCGCCATCTCTGGGGCATCCCCGGGGGGCCAATGCCGCTTGCTCGCTCACTTCCTGCCGTGTCGTTTCCAAACACCACGTGCTAGCTACTCTGGTGAACTCTGCTGGGGCAACGGCACGCGTGCCCACAGAGAGGGCTCTGAGTGCCGCCTCTGGCACGCGTGCCACAGATTCGCCACCACTGCTATAAGACAAGGCTTTTCACCCAGTGGTACGGGTACCACCTGTGGTACATTGGCACCTGGCAGGTGGTATGCGACCATCCTAGAAAAGTGGTAGTGGGGGAGGGGAATGAGCTGAACCAGTGGCAGCACCGCACAAGCCTGAGAGAGAGATGGCTGGAGCTGAAGGGCTGTCAGGGCTCAGCAGAAGCACCAGGATCAGTGACGCTTTCCAGCTGATCGGCGCTTCTTCAGGGCTGTCGGGGCTCAGTGGAAGCGCCAGGATCAGCGCCAGGCTCCAGCTGGAGCTCGGCGCTGATCCTGGCGCTTCTGCTGAGCCCAGAAGAAATACCGATCAGCTGGAATGTTGCAGCATCTCCAGGGTCTTGTGATTTACATTCAGATGCTTGGCAACTGATTCATATTTATGACGGTCACAGTGTCCCAGGGTCATGTGAAGTGACCAAAACCTGCTGCAACCACCCAGCAGATGGGGGGGAATAAAAACCAAACACCCCCCACCCCACCCCTGCTGCCAATCCTCAACAGAAATGCTCACAACAATGAAAATCTCGGACAGGAGGAAGAGCGCCGCCAGGTGGGCAGGCAGGTGTCTTGCTTGGCTGTGGCTTGGAGGGGGGCACTTTTTTCAGTGCCATTGTAACTTCGAACAGTCACTAAGCGAACTGTTGTAAGTCGAGGACTACCTGTACTTCATCACTTTTTTCCTTTTGGGGGGGGGGTCATCAAGTTTTTGACACCTTGCTAGGCGATTGGTGGTACTTGGATATTGCCGTATCCGAAAAGTGGTACAATGGGTGAAAAGATTGAAAAGCCCTGCTATAAGATACCTCCCTCCCCCCTATTGTGAACTGCTTATAGTCCCCTTGCAGGAAAACATTCACAGCTAGCTGAATTGATCCTGAGTGGCAACAAGGGGAGAATCGAACAGGAATCAGAGGCCCAAATAACCCAGATTATTTATATTCACTGACTATGTATCTCAAAGTTAGTACAGCTAGCATGCTGACCTAGTAGGAAAGGATCAGTAATGAGAAGAATGGGTTTATCCAAAAACATTCCAACGTTATGCTGTAATTCACACTGTGCCTGCCTCTTTCTTTATCTGGTCTTTAAAATGCAACAGGCCAAAGATGTATAAGTTGTGGTTCTGCTTTTGCTCAGGGCTGCTCAGCAAGCAACCGGTGCTTTGCTGGAAGTGCAATGTACACTGTGATTGTTTGTACGCTTAATCTGTTTATGTTGTATCTTCAAAGCAATTTGGTTGCTCTGGTGAGCCAGGTTTTGGCCACAACACCCTGCTGTTTGATTGCTTGATATGTCCAGTCTTGCAGAAAACATTGTTTTGCTGCTCTAATGCATTGGGAGGACAGGAAAGAAAAAGATCCTTTCAAAGTCCTACGTGATTTGGGTGTCGTGTTGATGATTAGATAATTTATTTTGATAGGATTGTAAAGATATGAATTATAGCAGGGCTTTTCAACCTTTTCACCCATTGTACCACTTTTCGGATATGGCAACATCCGAGTCCCACCAGTCGCCTAGCAAGGGGTCAAAAACTTGATGACCCCCCAAAAAAGGAAAAAAGTGATAAAGTACAGGTAGTCCTCGACTTACAACAGTTCGCTTAGTGACTGTTCGAAGTTACAATGGCACTGAAAAAAGTGCCCCCCCCAAGCCACAGCCGAGCAAGACACCTGCCTGGCCACCCGGTGGCGCTCTTCCTCCTGTCCGAGGTTTTCATTGTTGTGAGCATTTCTGTTGAGGATTGGCACCAGGGGTGGGGTGGGGGGTGTTTGGTTTTTATTTCCCCCCCCCCGTCTGCTGGGTGGTTGCAGCAGGTTTTGGTCACTTCACATGACCCTGGGACACTGACCGTCATGAATATGAATCAGTTGCCAGGCATCTGAATGTAAATCACAAGACCCTGGAGATAAGGTAACATTCCAGCTGATTGGTCCTTCTTCAGGGCTCAGCAGAAGCACCAGGATCAGCGCCGAGCTTCCACTGGTGCTTCCCCTGAGCCCTGACAGCCCCGAAGAAGCGCCAATCAGCTGGAAAGTGGCACTGATCCTGGTGCTTCCGCTGAGTCCTGACAGCCCTGCAGCTCCAGCCGTCTCTCGCTCAGGCTTGTGCGGTGCTGCCACCGGTTCAGCTCATTCCCCTCGCCCACTACCACTTTTCTAGGATGGTCGTGTACCACCTGCTAGGTGCCAATGTACCACAGGTGGTACCCGTACCACTGGTTGAAAAGCCCTGAATTATAGTAATAGCCACATTTTCTTTACATAATTCCCTTTGAATACCAATGACTTGAAAAATTTCTAAAACTCTTTTGGCCAGTGTCCATTAGTACCTTGAATTTATTGGTGCGCTGCATCGCTCTCCTAACTGGTGAGAGGAAGGCAACAGTTTGTTGGCTTGCAAAATCTCCAGGATAGATACCAAATCTTATATAGGATAGGGACTTTAGTTGCCACTGATAGCATATCTGCCCAAATGTCCCAAAACTCGAAATAAAAAGAAAAAGTAGTTATGCTGTTCATGAAATCAAGAAAAGTGGGAAGAGTGCAGTGGAGCTGAATGAAGCTTGGGTGTGTTCTGAAAGAGCCATGGTGATGAATATATGCATAAAAGCGAAGGTGTGGGTTTAATTATGAATGGCAGAGTTAAAATGTATGTTAGCAATTATGTATTGGTATTACTGGATTGCCATGAGTATGTATGAAAATAGGATGGCATTATGCTACAGTCCACAGAATGGGGTTAACAAAAAGAATCTGGAACGAATTTTGGGGAACAGTGGACAACAGTTGGAACAAGGTACAACAATACTCCCGTAAAAAAAAAAAAAGAGCCATTCAAAGAGCCAGGAATATCTAGCCATTCAAAGACCCAGGAAAAGATCTGTATTTTGAATATGTTAAGAACAGATTTATTTTTGCCTATGCATGAAAAAGAAATAAAATCATTGGGAATGCAGACAAAATAAAACGCTTGAAGGAGGATTTTATAGATTTGTATGGAAATTACAATGATATGTTGAAAAGTGGAGTTAAATGCTTTTAAAGTTAGTGCCCCCCCCCAAAAAAAAGGGTGAAAAGAAAGCTGTAAATCTTTTGATAATGTAGAAAAATAGTGAAGCTGCCAATTAAGTTTTGGTGTGCCTGGGAAAAATTAAAATACGGAGTGGCCATTCAACGTATTTGTGAATATTGCATTCATATCTGACTTGAGAAAGAAAATGCTGTTATTTTCCTACACCTAGAGAAAAATGCAGTTGTGTAAATGTAGCACACACACCCCAAGCAGGATTAGTTTAAGTGCTTAGGAAGATGTTTAGCAGAACTTTTGACAGAAAAAATATGACGGTGAGCAAAAGTGCATTGATTGCTGAGAGTATGTAGATCAGGCTTTTTTCCTGAATGGACAACTGGCCGCAGCTGACTCGCCATGGCTGTCTCACAACGGCTGACTTGCCACAGGACAATTCAACGTGGGACAAATGGATAGTAGTGGACTAAATCTCACTTTATATTTGTATCTTCTCAACTCAGACATCCTTGAGACTGGGGTGAACCAGAGCACTGAGTTACTCTTGTCTCTCTCTCTCGAGTTATCCCGCGTGTTGAATTGTCCCGCAGTGAGTTTTCCCACAGCGAGTCGACCAGGGCGAGTTAGTTGTCCCTGTCTCGAATGTGGAGTTGCAATTTGTGGTGATAAATGTTTGCCGAATACAGTTAAGAGTGGTATACAATAGAAATGTGTGAGAAAAACGGAATGCTTAGTACATAGTTGATTTGATATTGCGGAGGGACAAGGCTATAAGAAATCCCTCTGGTTGTTTAATCTGTTTACGGGTAATTGTATAAGGAGTGTAGCGCCTGTAGTGTCGATAAAAATATGCCGGATGGGAATGAGAACGTGTGTGTACTTTTGCCTGCAGATGAGCCTGCGGTGTTAGATGAGAAGATGATTCGCAGCTCACGCTGGACTGTATGAGGAAAAAGAATGGGTCTGAAAACGAATGCATTAAAGATGGAGGTTTTATGTAACGTGAAAATGGAGTGAACATTTTTGGGTTTATTTATAACAGTGGTTCTCAACCTGTGGGTCGGGACCCCATTTGGGGTCGATCGACCATTTCATGGGGGTCGCCAAGCAAGGCTGTCCGCCATTTTTTTTGTCCGCCATTTTTTTCCCCTTTTCCAGCGGGTGCCTTACCTCCCTTGGGCTGGGCCAGCTGGTGGTCGGCCTGCTCCGTCTCTGCCGCTTGCCAGCTACGCCTCG